TCTCATAGTGCTTATCCCCCCCAGCCAGTCGTAGTATCCCCCCCCCATACCCCATTATCATGCCGCATCCTGAATTTTTGTATACTTGTAGTCAAAAGTTCAATTTTTTTGTATATTGTCTCCTTCAGAGGCGGAAAATTGGGTAACGCTTGAAAATTTACTTTTTAAATTGTTCATATTTCCCTTCTTGCCTAATAGTAGGCCTAGGCATAGGATACTTTAGTTTGGCAGTAAAGCATAGGCCACGAAGAGATTAATAAGGTTTTAAAGCCATAATTTAATGATATAAATGTATCTTAAGTAGATAATTTATCTATTTGACTCCATAAAAATAAAGCAGAGGTAAGGTTAAAATTCAAAGTTTGTTTTCTCATATATTTTTATATCAATCGCATCCGGGACAGAACGACACAATTTTCGCGGGCAGGTAAATCACGTCAGCATGCGCGCGCATAAAAAACATTTTTGCACTATGTTTAACGTAATTACTTTGCATTTCATTAATTTTTTTATCTGTAAGAAAGTATTCAAATTGTTAGTCACCTAGGGCTAGGTCATCGGGGCAAACTCAGTATGCTGTCCCATGTTCCCCAACGACCAATACGTCTTTTGTAAATTCTGAGAGTTAAGCTAAAATAATCCTTTTTAATGATGTTATAGCAATTTATGGAAATGGAAGGTCGTCGCCCAAGACTTCTAGTTGCCAAGATGGGTCAGGACGGGCATGATCGTGGAGCCAAAGTCATTGCCAGTGGATTCGCCGATCTCGGATTCGATGTTGATGTTGGGCCTCTCTTCCAGGTCAGTCCTAGTTTTATTTTTCCATGCCAGAGTACTTTACTCACTACTGTCATCATTATTGCTTACTCTTATTGAATTCTCTTCTTAGAATTCCTTTTAATAGTTTACAATTATCTCTCTTGTCACAGTGTTCCCATTAGTTTACCCATTTGCCTTTCCCATTGTAAACAGAACTTTCTTCGACTCGGGTTGATTAACCGGAATCGATCGACCTTGCTAGATTTTAAGTACTGTCTCTTTTCCTTGAATAGACGCCTAAAGAATGTGCCCAGTTGGCTGTTGATTCGGATGTCCATGCAGTGGGAGTGAGTACGCAAGCAGCTGGCCACAAGACACTGGTACCAGAATTGATAAATGCGCTGAAGGAACTCGGAAGAGAGTGAGTTCAATGTTTTAATGTTTCATCGCAATTTCTGCTGTCTTAAGCCTAGCCTGGTGAGGTAAAAAAATCATTTTTATAAATATTTTGAGATATGTAATGTCAAGTGTATGAAGCCCTGTAGTCGATAGAGACAGTAATCTATGTATGTTATTTTCACATCCTTTTTTTCTGCAGGGACATAATTGTTATTGTTGGCGGTGTGATACCACCTCAAGATTACCCATTCCTGTTCGAATGTGGAGTCTCGAGTGTTTTTGGACCAGGTAGGTTTCATATTTTATCTCTAAATAATTCTTGAGATTTCTCAATTTTCTATCTCTTAAGATCTCAATACATAGATAGAACTCTAACAGATTTAGAAGCATTTAAGACATTGTAGGCTTTTTGCAAAACTCATTCATTCAACAATTTTCTCTAACTTTTAAAGTACATTAAAGAGTTCATTCTTTTTCGCCATATTTGATTTCCTCCCAAAATCTTGACCCTAGCCGATTCCTGGAAATCAATATTCCATCCGCCTATTGAGAGCATTAACGCGCTTCCTTAGACCCACCCTTTACTGACGTGTTTTGCTTTGCAATACATATTTGTTTTCACAGGTACAAAAATCCCTGAAGCTGCATGCAAAGTGATTGACGACATTGAAGCCAACCTCAATGGACCAGGGGGTGAAAAAATGAGCAATTAATCTGAAATGACGTTTTGTGTGCCTTTGCAGGTTTCTGCTTTGCTTAATAATAATGATTGATGTTTAACTTCATGCTGTAGATTTGTACATAATATCACTTTTCTGTGTTCAAATTTCTCTACTTTCATACAACGCATCATTTACAATACTGATCATGGAAAATTTTAGGCCTTTGATAGTTTCATTTCATATAAACAAAAGCAGTGCAGTTTTCACAAGAAATTCATAGAAAGCAAATAAATTTAAGTTTTTGAAAACTGCAACTAAGTTTGTTTAATGTTCGTTTTGTTTTACTTAAAAGTCACCCTTTTAGCTTTAATATCACCTTATAGATATTTAATTTTTTGCTGAATTAACCTGCCAAGTGTCGAAATCATTTTTAGGTAAATAAACCCGCCTTTTTCTCTAATTGCTGTAATACATCATAGTATTAAGTAGCTTTTATTTGTTATTGCTATTCAACTACATATCCGTTTAGGTCCCGTACAAAACCATGTCGCTCTTATATTAACAAATAAAAGATGATTTAAATTCAACATGTCAGCAATTATGATTATCTTATAAGCGTATTTTACCTTTGTTTCTTCAAGTGCTGTTGAATGACCTTCAATTGACGTAACTTTATTTAAATTGCTGTATGTTGCTTATGCAGTTTTAATGAATTTGGAAATTTGGTATTTCTGTTATTATTTTCTCGTTATGACTGTGTCATGTTGAAATTGGCAGCACACAAAGCGGAGCCATCTTTAATTCTTTCAACACTTCAACAGATGCACTTCAGTACAAAATTGCTGGCTTTTTTACATTACATATGTATCGATAAAATCTGATACAGTTGAAGGGAGATCGTTTCCACTTCCCAGGTCTCTTCTCGTGCCGCATGGTGATAGGATCGTACTTGCATTTCTCAAGGCAGATTTTCGATTTTGTTGATAACCTCTCGCAATTTTTTTGCTGGGTATCAAATGGCAAAATTCCAATAGGATCAATAACGAATGATGAGTGAACGGATTTTAGTTTGAAAGTATTGAAGTGAATTTTGACCCGTTCACTACCAGGCCCTAAATGTTGTTTAGACACCCGGTATTCGTTTTCAATTTGACGTCACAAGTTATTCCGCAACAATGTGAAATTATGACGCCGCGTATGGAGGATTTCTGTCATTGGCTCACAATGGTTGGTGGAAGAAAGGTTGATGCCGAAGATGGAGGTACAAAAAGTGAAAGTATGGAGGCCAAGGGCGATGATAAAGAACTGGAAGAAGACGATAAAACATTCGGAAATGGTTTGTTAATGTTTTTGACCCTTTTACTTCTGCTTGAAATGACAAATACTTTATATGACGTCAATTTTTCCCGATGGATATCTCCTGACTCAGTTATAACGGTTAGAAACAGCGTCGGTAACAAGGGTAACAAGGGCAAAGATTTTAAACGAGGAGTAAGAAAGAATGATTCAATTATTAATGCTTTAGGTTCGATTCGGAAAAGTACTAACCAAATTAAGCGGTTTTATTAATGCATCGTGAACTACCGTCCTTGCTATAATTTTTTAAACACCTCACACCGAAAATCTTCACAGTTTTCAAAAGTTGTTCTTATTATAATTTTGCCTTATATGAGTATTGTGGACGCATAAACACTTTTAGAGCGGGGAAAGGCACTGAGAGAACGAGGAATGATTTAGTGACAACGTTGATAACTTGGGGAATTAGTTAAATAACTTGGGGAGTTCGTTAAATCCTTGGATTGTCAACTTTTGAACTTGAATATTGTGGTGTTGCAACTATTATTGGCAAGGATTGTAAGTAATATAATTTGTTAAAATTTGACAGATGGCCTGTTCTTTCCGTGGTCACTTGCGCGGACACGCCGTCACTCATTGGACAGCTACCACCGAAGAAGCTCAATTGGTTCTACCGTGGTAAAGAAGACTGACCCAAGGCTGACTGGCATCTTTACGTATGTTTAATAGACGCTTTGGTCCATTTTTCAGTTTTCGTATACGCCCACTTACAACTCATGGTTCTTCAAAAAAACCAACGCTCCATATTTCAAGCTGAAAGCAAGCCCATAAAAAAGGCACCTGCAATAATGAAATGCGATGCACCCTTGTGGACAAGCTTTTTTTTTAATTTATCAAAATATTTTCAATATATTTTCTTTATTATGATATTATTTTAATATAATTCAATATCTTTATTATATTCTAATATCATATATTTAGTATAATTTCAAGCATTGAAAAGTTTTTCCTTCAAAACAAATCAAATTCCCTTCCTATCATAATTCTGTCAACCCCCAAAAACTTTAAGTAAAGTGTCATGACGTCATACGGGTGAGCATGTATGCAACACATTGCCTATGATTGTCGCCTCTTCTTACTGTGAGAATCTTTTCCATATAAAATATCTTTCATGGTTATTATTTTTCAAGAGAAATGTTTCGATTGAATTTGGAGAGTAAAGTTGCCAAGAAACTCTATGGTCACCAAAGAAACATCGATGAAGAAAATTATGAACAATTAGCAATGGGGAAATATGTTATTCACCCCATGAGTGATTTTAGGTTTGTATTGGTAACATAAATTTATGCGATTTACTAAGGTTATATCTGAACACATAAACAATGTTCGGTGCAACAAACTCATTAATCTTTTTATCTTTTTCTGTATGTGTTGTTAATATTCTTGAATTGTATATAATGGAATTTATAATTTGAAACTGAACTGAACTGATCCTTTCTTCGGTTGTGGCAAAAATAAGATACAGAGCTTTGTACAACACAAGATGACTGCTAACCAAATAAGTCTTAATTGCAAGTTACCTATGCACTTGCTGTTAAAGGATTTTGCACAACTGGCATGCTTTGCGATTATAATTAAAAAAGCCAGCTTAATATGGCACTGAATGAAAATACAACACAAAGTCAAATTCTTAATACAGCTGCCGCTAAGCATGCCGGTTGCGCAAGAGCCTTCAAGATAATCACTTGTTAGCCTTGTCAATTTTGCCATGAATCTAAAGAAAAAAAGTTCTATTAGTTTCTCAAAGTTTACAAAGTACATCCTCACTGCCTTTGCATGACCCACGCCACGAATTTGAAAGTGGGGGCCAAGGCTAGAAAGAATAGGGGGCTAAAGCTTCTTACCCCATTTACTGCAGCTTTAAACTACTTGCTTTGCAAAAAAGTGGGGGGGTCATGGCGATCATCAGACAACTCTAAGTGAATAGTGAGTTATAGTGTTCTTTCTTTCTTTATTCTTTCATTTTATCAAACCCTAGATTTCTAATGAGACGCAACAAAAGTGTGATTATAAGATATAGTGCCCTATTGGTATAGATTCCATTAATCTTTATAGTATCTCTCTATTTTAATCTTACGTGCTTTAACTCTCAACTTTTTAGATTCTATTGGGACATGATAATTGTTGTCATCCTCTTCGTCCAAATCTTTGTCCTACCTGTTAGTATTGCATTCTACAGTGGGGACTTCTCCGTCGCTTGGCTCTGCATCAACGGTATTTCGGATACCATTTTCATTTTTGATATAATTTTCAACTTCCACACCGGAATCCCGGATCATGAAAACGAGCACTTGGTATGTACTAACATTGATGTCTGTATAGGCGTTGCTTCTTTGATAGAACCTGTATCTTTACTTACTTGTTGAAAGTTGCCATTCTTCAGTGAATGACTTTGCCCTGGATAAAAAATATAATTTGCTCGAATAATCTCATATTGGGATTGAATTAAGTTTGCTTAAGTAGTGACAAATATAAACGGAAAAAGTTTGTGCTCGATTGAAAAAAGTATTCGTTTGGTCCGGCTACAGAACTTTTCGTTTCAAAAGGTGCTAGAATTATTGTATTTGGCTTTTAGGCAAAGAAGCTTTGAAGTATCTACTGGACTTGTTTCTGATGGCATCTTTCTTTTCAACTCAATGTTAATGCTTTTTGCCGTTTGTCGTTTGATGAGCTGTATTTTGTATGAATTTTCTCACGATATTGACATTTTCAGAAATGATGGTTTGTAAAATTGAACGACGTAAGTCTAAACATTATCCCTACTCTTTCTAATCGTTGCTAGTCTTAACCTTACCCTTTCTAATCATTGCTAATCTTACCCTTACTCCTTCTACTCATTGCTAATCTTACCCTTACTCTTCAAAATTACTAATCTTACCCTTACTCTTCAAATCATTGCTTATCTTACCCTTACTCTTCAAATTATTGCTAATCTTACCCTTACTCTTCAAATCATTGCTAATCTTACTTTTATTCTTGTTAATCGTTGCTAATCTTACCCTTACTCTTTCTTTGCAGACAATATTAGACAAAAGGATCATCCGCAGAAGATATTTAAAAGGCTGGTTTTTCTTGGATCTGTGCTCTTCTTTGCCCCTGGAATACGTATTTCTCATTATTGAAAGCACAGATCGAAGTACTGCCATCGTAAAAGCGTCCAGAGGATTCAAGATTCTAAAGCTTGTTAAAATGTTGACCCTACTCAAACTTTTTAGGCTATCTCGACTAGTCAGGTATATTCGACGCTTTGAAGATGTGAGTCTGTATGAATTTTACATCTTTTCGTGTTGTTAAAAAAGCAATTCTAAATAAGAAGACTAGCTTTCCGGGTACAGAAATATCCCATTGTAACATGACAAATTGCATCTAAATAAAGAATTACATTAAAAAGAACTATGAGTAAAGCTTTCCTTGTATGATAACGAGGTCACAGAATCTGTGACGAGGTCTTCTAATTTTGGCTTTATGGGAACAACAATCAAGAACTTAGTCTCCCCATCTCTCTTGACAACGTCAGCAAGGTAGGCTTACATTTTGCCTTTAAATTCAGAAAAGCCGTGAGCAACTAAAATATATGTTTCAATCACTTCCTTACTTGACTAAACATTGCTTGACTATCTATATTTATCATTGTCAAAGTCTGTTCTTTGCAGCATCTTTTTTCTATCAAGAAAACTATTTTCAATTGTTAATTTCACATCAGTATTTTTTCTCAGGCCACAAATATTACTACTTCGCATCTCCGGATTCTGAAATTACTCGCACTAATGTTGTTACTGGGACACTGGAGTGGATGCTTGCAATATCTGGTTCCGTATTTGCAAGATTTTCCCGCCGATTCCTGGGTGGTTCGGGAAGGACTTCTGGTATGTAGACCCCAGTTTTACTGTTAATATTTATCATTTCCCCCTGTGATATAATGGATTAATCATTTTGCAAAGCACAGAGCAATCTGATTTTTTGAAGGACTGCTACAGAATACTGTCGTATTTCGTTAAAATTATAGTGAGAAGAAAAATATTTAGGAAACCGGTACCTTTGTTGCATTTAAAAAGGTAGCAAGTTACCTAAATATTATTTGTCGTATAACAATCATTGACTAAATCATTAATTCATCAAATCAGTGACTAGAAATACATGTGACTGAAAATAGAAGAAAAATAGCTTATTTCTTGACAGAATTTTAAATATTTATAGTATCCAACATGGAAAAACAGACCAGCAGACGAAGTAGCAACGAAATTTACTCCTAACTGTTTGTCATTTTCAAAACTAAGTTGTGTACCACTGGTGAAAATTAAAATTTCTATGCTTATGTAATGAGCAGGAGTTGAGAACTTTTACCTAGTATCTGTTATACTCTTTGCGCTCGCTCCCTCCGTGAAACAGCATTACTGGCTGTATATTTAACGACTGAAGCACTTCATATTCGAATCAATATATTGCATTAGTTTTAAAGTTAATTATTGATTATAATTAATTATTAATTAATTATAAAGTTTTAACGATTTTTATTATATTAAAGCTTCTTAGGCAAGACGCCTTTTGCAAGCTGTGATATTTATGAGGAAGTATGTATAGCAAGCTATGTAAAGATTTTAGAAACATAGCAACTGTACATGCATCGAATTGAGAGATAAAACATTTTTGTAAAGAAATATAGCATTCCTAAGATCCAATCTGTGAACGACGTGAGTTGCTCTGGCAAGGAAAATTTCAAGGGCTTGGGGGTCTAGCGGTTTCATAAAGCTGTGTGAAATTGTGAAAAATATCTAGTTTTGATGGTGAACTAATTGAAGCAAATATTTCGAGCCAACGTTAGAAATGCTAATTTAAGATTCATTTTTAATCAAACCTTCTTAGAGGATTTTACCTGACTCAAACTAAATTTTATTAGGAGACGAAAGTACGTGCAACATCAATCGCTAGCTACTAAGTCACAGAATTGTTTGCCCATGTTATTTAATGTCCATGTTATTGTTCTTAGTGTGTTATTTAATTCGACAGGAAGCATCAGTATGGAGGAGGTACACGTGGAGTGTCTTCAGAGCAATGTCCCACATGCTAAGCATCGGCTACGGTCGTATGCCTCCACATTCGACCACCGATGCTTGGCTTACGTTGCTTAGTATGATGATAGGTGGGGCGTTTTATGCTGTTTTCATTGGTGGAATATCTACAATATCGATGGCAATAGATGCGTCTGGCCGGATGTACAATGAAAAGGCATGCTTATTGAATAGTATTGTGAAATTGACTTAAGGTAGCACCAACGTTGTTGCTGAAGATCCAAGGTTTCTTAAATGGATACTATTTTATTCTCAAATCCAACATCTCTATCGAGTTTCAAAGTGATGACGTCATATTAATATGCTTTTTCAAATATTTGAACTTGGACCACACCTGAAGCAGCATCATAGCATTAGTGAACAAGAACTCTTCTAATGGAAGAAGATACCTACTTGGAGTAAAATTGATTGTGGACTATGCCGTTTAGTATGTATTGTGAAAACATTTCTCTTTAATTTTTTTAGCTTTTTTGCAGCTTCAACCCAAAATCGTAATTAACTAAACAGAATGCACCATGAAATCGTAATTTTGTTCAATAGTCAATAATAATTTGACCGATGTTTGTTATTGAGAAGATCATGGCATGCAAAGGACTCTGATTCAGTTCTCATAACAGGCACCGCGTAGCAGGGGGGCGCTGGGGGCTTTAGCCTCCCCCACTTTTTGCAAAAAATGCCAAATATTAAGTCTCAAACTACCAGAAAAGCCTCTTATTATACGGTTATAGCCCCCCCCCACTTTTTTTAAGACCCCCCATTTTTCTCAACGCTCCACGGTGCCTGCATAAATAGCTGATGCCTTGCTGTTTGTCTTTTTTCAGTCACAAAACGAGTTTCAAATAAAACGCCTTGATCTGACTGATTTTTATATCTCATTGATGATCATTGTTTATTGACTGATTTTATAAGGTATAATTCTCTGACTGCAGGTGCAACAAGTGTCTGAATACTTGAAGTTTCGAAAGTTACCAAGGTCATTACGAGACAAAGTTCATGACTATTATGAGCACAGATTTCAAAGAAAGTGTTTTGACGAGGAGAAAATATTGAAGGAGGTTTCACCATCTCTTAGAGAGGTTAGTTGGGTAGTTAATCTTGCATATATCTCTCAATGAATCCCTGCCAATAAAACTCTGAAACAAATTTAATATATTTTTTTGGCAGCATGTATCAATCAAGTTAATAATAACTCGTTATAATACTCAATTAATGATATTCAATAAATAACAGTTGATAACACTCAAGTTAATAATTCTTTAATCACATGAAATTCGATTTATCCAACATGGTGTTTCCTAGACCTAACACCTCTCAGCAGAATATATTCATGTTAGGAATAGCTCTATTATTTTCAACCAACTCCTTATGTCCTAATTTTACATGATTTGATAAAAGTTTTAACGATGTTCCATTGTGTCATTTCTTTTCACTGTGTTGATACAATGCTGTTCTCTTGGCTGATGTTGAAGTGCGATAATATTGAACTCTCTTCTTGATATTGAATAGTCAGTTTTTATATCCACTTATTATCTAGATGTACTTCTATAAACTGTCAAGAGAATCTTCGTGTTTAACAGATGGATTTTGTTAGCGTATTCACAGTAATGTCATTCTACTGAGTAACACAACCAACTATTGTGACTTTGTTGTAGGAAATCTTGATGTATCACCTCGGAGATCTTCTCAGATCTGTTCCATTTTTTAAAAATGCTGAGTCAGAGTTCTTGGAGGAGCTCGTCCTTGTACTCAACTTTGAAGTCTATCTTGCGAACGAGGTCATATGTAAAGGAGGCCGAAAAGGAAACAAAATGTTTTTTATTGAACAAGGAATCGTAGAGGTTGTCTCGCCAAAAGGAGAGATAACTGCATCACTGGGAAAAGGATCCCATTTCGGAGGTATTTGTTTGCCTATTTGTGACATCATGAAACGCGATGGTCTATGTAGAAATAGGCATACCGTTCCTTTCAATGAATGATAACTGAAGCTATGCGAAAATGGAGGCAGTTTTTCAGCTTTGTAATTCACTATACAGTTGTTCTAATTAATTCGAGTTTTGGTGCTCTTTGTGAGGGATTTCATATCGCTGTTGAGCGTACTTTCAGTTGCCTTGATACCCGATCAAAAATTTCTTAGTAGCTTTGTTTTGTTTTGCTTTGTTTCCTTCTTTCTTTCTCACTTTATTCCCACTTGTTATCGGTTTTTCTTGATATTTTTTCCTATCTACTTTCCTCCATTATTTCCAAAATTGCTCCTGCCCCACTCACCTTTCTTTCAACATCTTGATTTATTCGATACTCCATCAATGTCCATCTTTAAACTTCCCCTGTACGCTGCCATAATGCTGTTTTCGTTTTAGAGCCCTAATTGCCCTATATGTCTTTCCTTTATTGTAGAGATCAGTTTACTGTCCAAAGAAGCAAGACGAATTGCTACTGTACGAGCTAGGACACAGTGCGATTTGTTTTCATTGTCGTGTGATGATTTCAACGACACATTAAAAGATTATCCACATATGAAAGAAGTTCTTCGGCGGGTTGCAGAAGCAAGGCTGCATAATATTGGCGCGTCAGACAGTGTTGGGAACATAGACCCTCAGTTTTGGTGAGCCTTATTTTGCCCAGATCACCCTTGTTTAAGTTTGCCAAGAAATTGAAGATTTCTCAGGAAAATCTTATGTCACGTTTTTGCAAATTGACAAAATTATTTTATGGAAATGTTTTCATTTGTATGCATGAAAAATCCTAGTTTTCTAGATTTTTTAATCTTTTCAATTCAAATTTTCCATCTTGTAAAATAAATCCCCTAAAGTTATTCCCTTCTGGAAGAAGGAAACTGAGCCATTCCTTTCCTTTGCAGGAACTGTGATGTTGTCGACTTGGAATCCAGCGGCGTTTGTCCAAATAACTTTTTTAAAAAGAAACCAACTTTGTTTTGCAACCTGAAAAATTCTGATAATCATTCTCCATCTGGAAGCAAGCAATCTTTCGATAAAGATACAGCTTCGAACGAAACTTTTGCATCTTTTAATGCGTAATTTGTGTATAAAACTAATTGACTTGCTAATTTTTATCACTGCAGTTGATGATCGATGTCCAAAATATGTAATTTTTTGCAACTAATTAAGTACCGCTTATTTATTATTGTATTTTGAAACTTTAAATTGAATAAGTACCTCAAATGGTCGAGCATTTCTGTTCTATGGTTTGCTAAAGTTTCGTTTATAATGGCGTGGTTATGTCAACGTATTCTATCAATGGTCCGTGGCACAGTTATTGAAGACTAAGGCACGAAAGGTCTTTATGTCATATAGGGAAGCTTGCCTAGTTATTGGTGGGGCGGTGTCGGTGGTTTGCAAGCGGAGATGAAGTTGAAAAATATTTGGTTTGCAAGCGGTGATGAAGCAATCTTTGGTTTGCAAGCGGAGATGAAGTTGAAAAATCTCTGGTCTGCAATAATTTAAGGTTATAATATTTACTTTATCCTTAAAAGCCCTTCCCCCAACTGCCCTCCCCTAGTGCTAGGCTTTGTACAAAACTTTTCTTTTGGTGACGTCTTTATGCAAACACCACTCGATATCTTTTTAAAAGGAAGAAAAGATGCAATGTAAGCTATAAACCGTTTTGAAAACTTTACATGTAATAATAAATCAATAGAGTTGTACAATAAATTTCAAAATCAAATTCGGTTTCTGCACAATATTCACGTCATGCAAGATTAAGAAAATGCTTAGAAATGCGTCAAAATACATAAAAATGCTCTCAGACTTGTGTGTTTATGCTACTTTTGTTAGAATTTGGGGAATCATTAGAATTTGTTTGTTCAAGGAATGAAAAGGCTATAGAATGTAGAAAATAAAAAACACCGTAACGAGCCAAGAACAAACAACAACAAACACAAGTAAATTGATGGTAGCTCAGCTAAACTAATGGTAATGTAAGTCTTATAATAAGGCTGCCTGCTATCTAACTGCCCTCATCACATGATTTTAATCGCTTCTCTCTAAGTTCCACCCGTTTTACGACGAAAACGCGAGGCATCTTTTCAGTAGAATACATCCACATTACAAGTTACAAAACCGTTAACAGTCTAGAAGAGAAGAAAGACAACCTGCTTGAAAAGGCACTAGAATATTTAACCTTCAATTGTTTCTTTAAAACGTACTTTTATTGTTTCGTTTAATATGCAATGTTACAATCAACTTCTTAACGGAGCTGTGTTCTCTGTATGCGAAACTACAATTCATGCAAATGTTTACGTCAGCATGTTAATATCGTTGTATTAATACCGAGGTGGTGATCACAAGCGTCGGTTGATTGCGAGGTTAAAGAGTCACCATTGTATACATGCGATCTTGAATTTTTCGTTTATTCTCAAAGCAAATGATCAAAATGACACGTAGAAATAGGAGAATGAGGACTATTGCCATCATTGACAGCAGTAAGGAGGAAAAGTAACTTTCACTCGCTCTCTCTCGAGAGAATAAGCTTGTCAAACCGGTTGAAATTGCAATGTACTCTACGACAGCAAATCGAACATATTTTTCCACTGCAAAATTCTCAATTAGAAACCAAGCAATCAAGATTACTGCAAAGACCAGCAACGAGGCTACTGATGCTTGGAACGAGGTTAACCCAACATCGTAGCAAAGAACCACAGCCAGGGAGAGAATGACGAAGACAGTGTTCCACGCACAATCAAATATGAGAGCAGACTGAATGAATATTCGATGGCACCATATTGTGCTGGCCTCCAGTTCATTTTCGTTTGCTTTGGCGTAGTATAGTGACGTATAGGCCTGATACATCGCAGGGTATTGCAAGAGGGTTGAAGTGCACATTAATATAAACGAAGATATGGTCTTTTCAAATGCCCAAAGCACGATACCTAACGATTCCATGACGCAAGATAGTGAAAATGCTCCATAAAAGCTTGAATCGATAATTGAAGATCCATTGACGTGCAGCGTTCCACAAACGCAATACAACATCATTCCAAAACTGTACGTCAGTGCAAAGAACGCGCGGGACATAAGCAAGGGACTGCCAGCTGGGGTGAGTTCTGTATCATATGCCGCAAATGTTTCGTTCAAGTCGTCCAGAAATTTGATATTTGTCGCAGACTTTGCGATGAAGCAAACCAAAGCCACAGCTATCAGTATCTTCTTCATTTTCTCAACACCGTGTCCATTTTTCTCACCAGGTTTCGATTCTGGCATGTCTGGCTATCTTTGGTCACCACTTAAATTAATCTGTCTGTACACTTTGTTGACTAGGACAAGTTTTGATCTTCAAGACAACAAAGATGCTTGCTCTGAAATATAATATGATTAGCTGTAAGATGGTGCAGCATAACGTGGTGCAGCAGCGATAGCGCAATAACTAGTTTTGGGAAAAAATTACAATTTAACTCAATAATGGAAAAGGTCCAGGACTAGGCCATAGCCGCCAACTACATGGGTGCTGAAGACGTTTTGATCGAAACTATTTTGACAATGAGAACCATGCTTCCATTTTGTTATGAGAACGTTTACATTTCGAAACATAAACGAAACATTGATGGAGGCTGTTGCGTCAAAGGTTTGAAAAAGTACGAACCCATTTGCTAGCACACAGAAATGTTTGTCTGCAGCCTTTCACATTTCACAGAATGCATAATTTTCTTTCCCGAATCAAGAAAGAACCACTTGAGCTTCAAATGTTGAAACCTCCCAAATTTCTGATGAATTTCTTTGGCTGGTTCAGGGTGCCTTGACGCATGCTAGGGATCATTCTTGAGGGAGGTAGTTGGCTACTTGGCTAAACTCCCCCCCCCCCCAACCACCTACCCATATACTCTTTCGAATAACAGGAGCAGTGAAATAGGCAATAAACATATTGTTCGCTGATTTGATCCTATTTCATAAGTTAATTTCACTACAATTACAAACCAGTCAATATTCTAATTTTTTAAAGAAATTGAAAAGATGTTACATAAACAGTTACCTGTCCTCATGTAGTCGTATTACCACCAAGTTCTGATATCTTCAATGGATGAAAAAGCTTATACTAAACTAGACAAGTCTGCCTCCTCGTTCTGTTGACGATGGGTGTCTTGATGGCTAATGTATTTTTGTAAGTAATTAGGAGCAGATGTTCACGATAGTGAGACTTACGAGTATTAAAGTTTCACACAGTGACCGCATTTAATGAAAATGAAGGCTCATTGTCAGATCAGATGATGAGAATGGGTCTTTCATGTCAGTGTTTGCATGTATAACTCCAACAGCGCACTTTGGGCGTGATTACATGAAGCATTGGAGCTGCCAGATATTAACCTTTAATTCTGCACAAACATCACGAACATAACAGTGCAGTATCGGAATACCAGGCTGTTAGAAGATAACATCACGAAAAGTTTTTCATTTCTTTATTTGATAGGACCATAATGATAGGGCACTTTGATAGCGAAACCGAGGCTATTGCGTCGTAAAGTGGAGCGCCGAGAACCCTTTTGAGTTTCCGCCTTCTCAGTACCCTTTACGTAATTTTCTCATTTATTTGCGTTTGTGGGGTAAAACGCTCAAATTCTTTGCTAAACTCGTTTTTGAAGAGCTTCTTTGCAAAATTATGAAAGTAAAGATAAATGCAACAATTTTCAAAATGCAACATAGGATGACACTGATAATCGTCAATACTTACTAAGAAACCTTGTGGTAACTGTAACACAGCAATAAAGTAATCTTGTTGCACAGCCTTGCTTTAAAGTTGCATCGCTTTTATGTTTTATCACTCGACGTATCTACAAGCATATCAAATTGCAATGTGTTCAGCTTAAAGCTATAAACAACTGGATCGTCGTGCAGCAAAATGACACAAGTATGACGAGGACCAGAATCATAATTCCTATAACAAAGCAACTGTGAACTGTATACAAGAACTGGGAAATTCCCAAATAAATAAATAAATAAATAAATAGGCAAACTAAATCAATGTTTGTTATACTTTCCTTACCTTTGGTAGCCCGTTCGCAAGCGGACAGGTTGCAATTGTGTGCAGACAAAAGCTGAAACTAATATTGAATTTCATGAGAGCTCATATGACCGAACAAGGGACACGCACATCATTTGTCAATTTTATTTTTATCAAACCGCTAAGTTACAATTGCCAGTATAGGATATCATAACAAAAATAGGTCTATATGGGAGCCACACGCTTGAAAGTTTAGAGGTTTAGCTATCCATTGAGTCACTCTTGCTCTTGCAAAAACGTTATCAGGACCTTTCCATTAAAATCATAGGAGAGGCTTCTCTCGTGACGAAGCCCAAACCAAAACGTGTCGCGTGAATAGCTCATCAGTTCCCCTACCTGCGCTTTGCTGGAGTTCATGCATAGGCCTCCCGAAAGAACTCACCTCAGTTGAAGATACCCGCTGCTTCTAGCTTTAATTCAGTTCAAATCTGAATTTGCTGTCTACTTCATGACACTTGATAACAGGCTATGCTCGAAACGTCGTTTATTAAAAAAAAGTTTTTCCTGGTACAATTTACTTACATTGATCGTTATTACTTCATGGCACAACCCTTAACTGGCTTTCATTACGGGGCATTGTTTGAGAACAATAAGAGCAAAGGGATTGTTAATTGGAAGTAGGATTTAAGAAAATTTTAGGAAGGATTGGGGGGGGGGGGCGAGCTCCTCAAGAACAATGGTAGCTACGGTCCTGCTCCTCGTTGATATCCGCGTTTATTCAAACAGGAGTTTTATTATACAAATATGTCTTTGTAGACGAAGAAATGTGCTGAAAATCTATAAAGCTTGGGCAAATCAAAACACTCGAAAATAGTTTTTTGGGCTCCGACAAAGGTTTGAAAGTGGGGGGGGGGGAGCAAAGGAAGATTCAACACCCATAACAAAAAATTCTGAAAAAACCTTTATTGTTTTGTAAAAATGTGGGGGCATGGCCCCCGGTCCCCTGGCCCCACGGCCCCACTGCCCCCGGCCTCACCTTCGTCAGAGGATCTGAGTTTGCCCAAACACGAAATGATCCTGTTGTCAGATTTTCCACCTGCATAATCACAGTATCAAATTGCAGTTTGCTCTGGCGATGTGAAATACTCCTTTTCTCACATTCCCAGCATTTGGTACAGGATTTGTGACATAAAAATTACAAATTTTTTGGTGCATCAGTTGATTCTGTTGTCTGTAAATATTACGATTTCTCCTCCAGCCTCTCTCCCATCTCGAGTTTAGTTAATACCTCTATACCTGAAATCTCAAGGCAGATCAAATTCTGCCTTGTGGTACGCGAAGAAATCACCTCAGTGTGCAATAAAACGTTTGAAAATGGTCTCTCGGTATTTGAAACCAATAAATCTACTACAAAGTACCTCAAGCATCTCTCATCAAGGAAGAATATTTGCTTTCAAGCTTTGGAAAAACGATATTCCTTCGGTGAGTGTCAATGCTTATCCTAAACTCACATCTCAACAACACTAATTTTGTGTATAAGTGGGGACGTTCTTCCCGGTTTTTGCCCACTATGAGCACATATTTTATCGTTTATTTTTAAATTTGTCATTAATTCATCTGTTAAGAATATTGTTTATATATTAGCCAAAAGAGGACACTCAATGCTTATAAGCCTAAGTGGCCTAACATTTTGAGAGTTTTTTTAGGAAAAAGAGGTTGAAAAGCATAAGTAGTGTATTATATAAAGGTAAATTTGTGTTTACCTTTAGTCACTATCTGACGTCTTATACTTCAGATCTTCTACTTTTGAGCCAGCCTTAATTTTTTCTGGACTGGTGCGTGACCTCTCCCTTGAGCAAGATCTTAGAAGCCAGACTGTAGATTAAAGTTTATGCTGGCCAAGACCAATTGCGGACAAAGTAGCCTGAAATGTCACACAATTGTTTCTTCTAAAAACCCTATCAATTCAGATCTTCCAAGTACAGCCAAGCTAGCCCAGCCCTGCTCAGTGCAGCTCTTCTATCCAAGACTTACTCAGTGCAGCCTGACCTGTACTGTCCCATCCAAGCCTAGTCTCAATCAACCTAATATTATCCAACCCAGCCCAGCATGGAACATGGCAGTCTAGCTTAGCTTAGCCTAGCTAAGGTCTGTCAAGTTTCAATTTTGAAAATGTGTGGGTTTTGTGAAAAGGTGGGGTAAAGGTTTAGGCTACTATGGAATCTCAAGGCAAAGGTCAGCTAAAGAATTAATCCTGACTGCTACTTGGACAAGGGGGACCAAGAGGCATAGCCTTAGACCAGACTGGAAACTCGGTTGCATGCCCACAAGATATTGCCTGCGTACTCAACTGCACGCTTTTGCACATTGGCCAGGCAAAATCCCCAGATAATAACCTTAACCATTATAAGCACTAAAAACGCTAACAAATTTATGCTTTCAGACACGAGTCTCAAATTTTCAAAGTAAACTTGTCCGTGCAAGAGACAAATTTTCCAGTCTGGGCCCTAGAAAATCTTTCCTTTGTCATGTTCTCTAGTTCTGCAGAAATTCCCACTTTGAACAAATGTTCTTACAGACAAACCCTTTTGCAGGATGCAGTCACCATCTTTTCAGGATGCAGTCACGCTCTTTAAGGGATTTCATTCTCTTTATGTACATTAATCATGTATTTCATGTAGGCAAGAAACAGTTACTGAGCTAGCTCCCAAAAATATATGATATTCTGTAGCAAGGCCTCATTAGGAGGGAGGATTTTTGTTAGGGTTTTGAAAAAACTGAATAATTTGAATAATCCAAAAACTTTTTGCTGAATGTGTGAAAATTCTGTGTTTGTTTTTATGAATGTGGGAAACAAGCAAATAGTGTATTTGACTCACTAGCCACTGATGCCTCCTTTTATTAAGTTGAAACTTCTGTTACAGATTCAAATAAGAAAAGAAAGTAGTTCAACTGATGAATCAAAAGCGAAAATAGCTAGCACTGGCCCATTTGAAGTCAATTTGGTTCAAGGGAAAAGGTACTCATGGTGTCAATGTGGTTATAGCCTAAAACAGGTACATATCCAAACTTATTTTCAGTATAACTACATCAAATTATTTTGTAAGAAATGCATATTGTAATCCAATAGTTGCATTTAATAGGGAACAAAGTATTAGTGATCGCACGAGGCATATAATTGATGATAGTGGTTTTATCCACATCAACGAAGTTTACTTTATAGTATGCAGGACCTCCCATATCGAGGCTGCCAAACTTCTTAATAAGTTTATTGATCTTTACTTTACTTGCTACTGTTGTAAGAATATCACTATGTAATGGAGAATGACAATTGTGAATTTTAAGGAAAAATTGTGGCATTCCCATGTTACTTTTGGAAAAGACAAGTGTTAAAAGGACAAACAATATCTTCATTAAAACCTGAAATATGTTGGATTAAGTGTTAGCATGGGAACCAAGCAACTGGTTGGCTGTTGATTTTAGGAAATTTGCAAATTGGCAAGGGTAGCAATATCAGAACCACTGACCAGCCTTCTGATTTTAGGCTGCTCTTTACCCTGGAAGTACTATCAAGATAATTCTGTAGTTCTAATTGTTTTTTTGAGCTAAGACTGAACTAGAGACTTATGGACCAGGGGGACTCCACTAGTAGGTTTTTTGGTGATTTTTTGCAAGAACTAATTTAGTGAATTTCCTTCCATACTAAAAGTTCTGTTGAAATTATTTCATTCAAATTAATTATGCCATTCACAAGATGTAATCTAGTTCAATTGAGATTTTTTTGACTCAGATTTTGACATACAGTGTGCATTAATTATCATCTTTTTCAAGTATTTCTACCATCCATCCCAACCCAATTCTAAAACTTAATTGTGTTTTTTATGTTATCTAGGTTTAAAAAGCCCAATAGCAGATATAACTGTGGTTCTAAATTTATCCTTTTAAGATTAGGTACAATAATTACAAAAGAGCCAGGGATGGCGGTATGGGGTGTCATGGGGGGGGGTGTGGTTTGCAGCTTCCCCCCAAAAGTTCCCAATGACACCCCATTGGCAGCCCAATATAAGAAAAAAAGAAGAACTGTCAGCTCTTTGAAACAGTCTAATGAGGATTTTACTTTTTTATAAGAACCATTAAATAGAAGTTCAGGCTGGCTTTTTGACTTTCAGTAAAACCATTAAAACCATTAATGAGGCTGGATTGTCCTGAACTTGTTCTTAAATCATAAGGGTTAAAGCAGTGCAATTGCTAAAAATTGTGCTAAAGGGGAGAGTTCAGGCACCATTTTCAAACAAAGTTTGAAAAACTCAGCGTCAACCTGACCAATTTGAATAAATTGAAAATAACAAATTTGGAGGCTCTTTTTTTATAAAATATCCTTTTGAGTAAAGGTTCTATCAAAAACTGTCGCCAGGCTCCATGGTTTATTAGGAATCTGAGAGGCATCAAATAGCCAGGGCCGCAAAGAGGGGGGCAAGGAGGCAATGGTGAAATGTTCCCTAGGGCTTCAACCCTTGAAGGCTCTATGGGGCCTTTTAAAGTAATGAATCCAATTTTTAAGAATGGAATTATTCAGGCATAAAAAGATTATCCCCAAGAAGAGTAAAACATTTCGAACGATTGGAAGAAGACGGCTCCAAGAAATATTGTGGAATGTATTTTAATATACTAAACTTAAAAGCGTGGTCGCAAATTTTTTCTGCTCGCTTCGCTCGCAGGGAAGTCTTTTTCGTGTCTTGCCCAGGATTTGTGATAACTATTAATGGCCTAGTCATTTTCACTGTCAACAAGATTTTTCCGTGATATTCAGTCAAAGCTGGGCAAGATGCTTGACCTTTACGTTGTCGCGGTTTGATTGACGGACAAAAACATTTTTTCCATTTATTTTCAAAACATTTTAAGATTTAAAGATACTGTAAAGGGGAGTTCATGAAATATGGCGGCAACCATTTTTATAGTCTTCGGCACTTTAATTTTTCTAAGATTGTCGGCACATTGTGGTTTAGTTTCTAGCGCCACCCCTGAAAAAAAGCTGCTATTTAGTTGATAACTGTGACATTTAATGAGTGGATCAATTGAAATCAGAAACTCCTATAAGCAATCAGGCATTTTTAAAGGATAAATGCCCTTCCAAAATTTGTTCCCTCTTCCCAAGTTATAAAGGCTACCTTTTTCCCTCAATAAAACAATTCGGTTTTTGGGCTCGCTCGAATCATCTGTTTAAAAACTTCAGCAGAGCAAACTGACTTGATTTCTGGCTAACAATGGTTGTGTCAGTGGGTTGCCATGGCTCCTAGGTGCATTGTTAGAGCAAAACATTTTCTGCTCTATGCCCTCATCCAAGTTGATGCTCAAAGCATTGCCCCTGTCAATTTTAGATTTTTTAATAAACTCTTAAAACTTTTGCAATAGAATTGATTTATCCAATAACAGACTAATACATATTGATTTATTCAATAACAAAACTTTGCCTGATTAATAGCGGAATACCAGATGAATTGTTAATTTACTTGATTTTTCACCTCGTTACTTAAGGATTCCTATGTAAGTTGAAATGGGCTAAACAATTACTGTCAACGAACATGAATTCCCAATCAAAAACCAAACTACCTGGCCTTGCATTTTTTTCTAGAATTCAGAGGGACTGATTTACAGGGGGCTGTGGGAGTGTGACAACCCCAATATTTTTGTGTACTTCAGCAAATTCTCTTTTTACTTGGTAAAAAACATTTTTCTAGTCAGTAGTAATAAAATGATTATCGTCTTATCTTCTTTATTTTAAAGTTAAAAACTGAATATTAAAAATGGGTGTTTTCCAGTTGCGTTAAGGGGGTGGCACAAAAATCCAATAAATATCTAACACCCCCCCCCCCATTCTTGCTGTTTAAGTCCTTCCCTGAGAATTCATCTTTATTACAGTACATTG